GTGCATCTTTCGCACCCTCCGACTCCCGTCGCGAAGAAGCTGCAGCACCGCGGGACACCACGACCAGAGCCCCATGGGCCCCAACCTTCCGCAGCATCATCTCAGGCCAGATCGGCCCGCAAGAATCTAGGAGGCCTCTAGGACAGGGCCCCGGGAGTGCGCCAGGGGGAGGCGTGAGCTGTTAAGTGGCAGGGCCCCGAAGCCAACAAAAATACCAGAATCACTAATCCTCCGTAGCTCGTGTTTTTCGGGTGACGGCAGTTCCGGTTAGTGGAATGGGGGCGGGGGCTTCGTCCCCAAGCACGCATTCTTAAACCAGATCCCACTAGACCCAGTCTTGCAAATGCCCCGACAGACGCTGGATACGATCGAAATGAATACGGAAAGAATTCGGGGAACAGGCAACAACACAAAAGTCAACAAGCATACATTTTCGGAGGTCCGCGCGGATTTCTCGGGTCGTCGCTGGACCCCCAGGGCGGCTCCAGGGCCGCCCTTGGCGCGCTCCGCGCGCCAGGGACGGGGTCCAGCGCGGATCCGAGAAATCCAGTGCAGCTCCGAGAGTGTATGTTTATGTCCTGATTTGTTTCCCGAAGAATGGGTATGAAGATCGACTGGACTCGCCATCGCTGTCCCCGCTGACGTCGTGAATTTAAGACCGACGGCCGCCTGCCCAACAGCGGCCGCTGACGGTTTTGGACAAGATGTGTTGTCGGGCATCGTGCCCAGCGTCCACAGACGCACCCAGATGAGCGAGGGCGTGAATATGGGATTCGGACGTTCTCCTGGGTTCTGGTCTTTCGGGCCTCGGGCTCCAGGACCAGAAATTTAGAACTCGGGGCGAACAAAAATCTCCGGGAGGGTGATGGGACTTCGGGGCCCGCGGGGTCCGAGCGGATCTTTTGGATCTGCGCGGGGCCCTTGGAGGTTCCCAGAGACCGATCCTCCTGGCGGCGGGCACGAGGAGCCCCCCACTGGCGTGCACGTGTTCCCTGGAAGTCGGCGGCGCGCCCCGGGGGGGAAGGCAGAGGGGGCGGGCCTTCTCGGGAGGCCGAGGGCTTCTCCTCCCTCATTTGCTCCCGCGGCGCGCCGCCGATCCCACGGGCCGGGTTCCAGGGGTCTTCCCCTGCGGCGTGGAAACCAGTGATCGAATCGTTCCCCATGGTGTTTTTTTAATCGCCATCCTGCATTACGGTCAAGACGCTGACATAAGGGATACGTTGGGCTCATGAGCGGCTTTGGTTTTCAGGCCGTTAGATCTAGGCGGGGAACCCAATCGTGTCCGAGGCTCGCCGTGGCCAAGCAAGCCCATCCGTTCTTTGTTCAGGGTTCCTTCTGGTAGCACGATGGTAGTCAGGGTATAGAACGAAACTCCCCACAGACGGGGTGCCCGCGGAGTTCCTCCTCCGACCTGCCCCTCATCCCCCATCTGTGCAGGCCGATGTTTTTGAATTCTCTTCAAGGCATGACTTGCTCGGGTGGCGGCGCGGGCCTCGGTGCGTTCTTTTGTTGCGTGGAATTTCGAGCGAGCAGAGCACGATGACTGCCTGTGTCCCCTGTCCCTTCCTCCCCTCCTCGGTCCTCGCTTCCCCGTCCCTTACTTTTCCTCGCTTGGCCCTATTTTCTTAGTTGGTCCGTCCTTAAGTCCGAATCCAGTACTCCGCCGGCGATCCGCTGGCCACCATTTTCATTGTGCTTGACCCCGATCGGAACCTGCCCGTTTAAATCAGGACGTCGGTCGCCTCGTGGCCGCCTCGTTTGCGCCTGGATCGTGCGGTCCGTGACGCTCTGAAAAGCCCGCGGCGCCTGTTATTGTCGTCCAGAGCCGCCGGATCTCAGAGATCCCCGATTCATCCCTGTCCGAGAGTGTCCCTGTCCCGGTCTTGTCCTACGTTCAGTAGGGGTAACAATACACAAACACAAGTCATCGCCGCTCCCCCAGGAAATGATAAAAATATGGGAAGCGGACGGGGAAGACGAACATCCAGAAAATAGTGAAAGTATAGGGGGAATATTCAGATTTGTGTCTATTTATTTGTGTGTCCCTGGGCCGCTTCATACAGTCAAAACTCATCATATTAACAATACTACTACTACTACTACTACTACTACTACTACTACTACTACTACTACTACTACTACTACTACTACTACTACTACTACTACTACTACTACTACTACTACTACTACTACTACTACTACTACTACTACTACTACTACTACTACTACTACTACTACTACTACTACTACTACTACTACTACTACTAACTACTACTACTACTACTACTACTACTACTACTACTACTACTACTACTACTACTACTACTACTACTACTACTACTACTACTACTACTACTACTACCTACTACTACTACTACTACTACTACTACTACTACTACTACTACTACTACTACTACTACTACTACTACTACTACTACTACTACTACTACTACTACTACTACTACTACCTACTACTACTACTACTACTACTACTACTACTACTACTACTACTACTACTACTACTACTACTACTACTACTACTACTACTACTACTACTACTACTACTACTACTACTACTACTACTACTACTACTACTACTACTACTACTACTACTACTACTACTACTACTACTACTACTACTACTACTACTACTACTACTACTACTACTACTACTACTACTACTACTACTACTACTACTACTACTACTACGACTACTACTACTACTACTACTACTACTACTACTACTACTACTACTACTACTACTACTACTACTACTACTACTACGACGACGACGACGACGACGACGACGACGACGACGACGACGACGACGACGACGACGACGACGACGACGACGACGACGACGACGACGACGACGACGACGACGACGACGACGACGACGACGACGACGACGACGACGACGACGACGACGACGACGACTACTTCTACTACTACTACTACTACTACTACTACTACTACTACTACTACTACTACTACTACTATTACTACTACTACTACTACTAATAATAATAATACTAATAATAGTAATAATAATAATAATAGTAGTAGTAATCATGTTGAGGACGCCCAGGTGTCCTTAGGGTACGGTGCACTTGCGTCCTTGCTTCTGCGGCCCGTCACTGGCCAGCCCTTCAGGGTGTTGGCAGTCCGCCGCCCAAAAAGGGCTAAGTTCGGCGTTCGAGGCCCTCTGCGTCCTTACCGCCCCTCCTGCCTACAGATCTCGACTGCATGTGCCGCCCCCCGCAGGATCGGGCGGCCCGTGGCCCTCGCGAGCCGCGGCCGCCGTGCCCTCGGGGCCTCCCGGCTGGCGGACCGCGGCGGAGAGGCGCGGCGATGGGCCACGGCAGGCGCGCCGCGGGGCCCAGGTCCCTGCACGAGCTGCCGCGGACGAAGGTCTCGCACGACCGAAGCGGGCACGGAAAAATTGGGCACGACGCCCAACAACAACTGTAGTCCGAAGCCTCGGAGGAGGAAAAGGTACCCAATACCTCTACTCTTCGTCTGTGCTCCCCCTTGTGGGCCTCCTGAGTGACCCTCGTCGCCACCGCTAGATTCGCCTCGAAAGTCTGTTCACAACGCACCCTGGGAGGGATCGGGGGAGTAGCAGCATCGGTATTTTTTATTTGCCCCAAACTGCCAGCGGCCGCTGTTGCGAAGACGGCCTTCTGTCTCAGATGGACAGCGTCCGCGGCGGCGCGGACAGAGAGTCCTTCTCGAAAGGAACAGGAAATGTTGTTGGGCTTCGTGCCCATTCTTTCCGCACCCAGCTCGTTCGTGCCGAAAGGTGGCGCTCGAGGCCACACGCCTTCCAAACGGGATCCGAGTCTAAAGACTTGTCGCGCAAGTGAAAAAGACGACGGCAGCTTTTGTTTGCCATTTTCGGCCTTCTGGGGCCATCGCCGCCCCGGGGCCGTCAAACATCTTCTCAGGATGACGAGCCGGTCCCAGGGGATGGGTCGAGATTGGGGGAGTGAGCGATGTAAACAAATCATGACGGCTGGGTTCTGTGGTTGTCGGCGGGCGTTTCCGTTTTTCGGCGGTTCCCTCGCCTCGGGGGTGTTTCGTCCCGAACGGCACAACGGCTCCGTGGGGCCAGGGGCCTCGTGCGACGCTCCTGGGACGCTCAGTTGGGGCATTGGTTGGCTCTTTCTTTCAAGCAGTGGCGAAGGGTCCTGGCGTACCTATAGGCCTACCAAACAATGTTCTAAGAGCCTTTTGTGGTCTGCACGAGACGTTCTTAGAACATGTCTGGCCGGGGCTGTCCTGTTTTAACACATCGGGCTTATATTCCAAGAACACGGTTTTTGTTTTCAGAGCATCTTCGGGTTCTAAGAACATGTCGTGGTAGGCCTATAGAATTACCGGGACGGTCGGTCCCTGCTGAAACATTCAGGCGAATTTGGGCCCATTCAGGGCCGAGCCCTTCAGAGGCCCGTCCACATGATCACACGTTGTTGTTGCTTGTTCCTGTAACTCGGCTTCTCGGCGGCACCCTTGGGAGGCTCCGACGCCATCTCGAACCGCTCTGCGGCGGTCTTGGGTATTGGGCTGACGGCTGACTTGGATTATCTGAGACACCATCTGGGGCTATCCAGGGCCATCGTGCAGCCACCGAGGATCATGCTGCACGCTCTCACCTGTCGCAGGTCCCGCCTTCAGACCCCACTCCCCCGGACCGCCTGGACCAGCTGGGGCCAAGCTGCAAAAAGTTGTTACATTGCGTGATGGGCTTGTTTTCCACAACCACCACCATAGGTTGGAGGGGGAGGGTGTCCTCCTCCTCCTCCTCCTCCTCCTCCTCCTCCTCCTCCTCCTCCTCCCTTTCCTCCTCCTCCCTTCCTCCTTCTCCTCCTCCTCCTCTTCGTCCTCATCCTCTTCTCGCCCTCCTCCTCCTTCCCCCCATCCAACTTGTGGTGGTGGTGGTGGAAAACAGGCCCATCATTGCGTGTTTCCCCTGTGGACCTGTGGAGGCGCTCAACGCGATGTTCGTCGAGGGCGCCAACGAGGTGGCCGGCGGCATGAGCACGGAGGCGACCGGGCGTGGATTATAATTCGGCTCGGGGCAAGCCCGGCTCGGCCCATGCAGAAGAAAATGGCTCCTCACTCCTCCTCCTCCTCCTCCTCCTCCCTCCTCCTCCTCCTCCTCCTCATCCTTCTCCTCCCTCCTCCTCCTCCTCCTCCTCCTCCTCCTCCTCATCTCCTCATCCTCATCCTCCTCTCCTCCTCCTCCTCATCCTGGGTCAAGGATTTACAGGCCCCCCCGCAGATGGGATTGGTCCCAGGGTTCTCCCCCTGATGAGATGGGGCGGGGCGACGACGACGTCGTCGTCGCCGACGATGACGAAGACGACGACGGCGACGACGACGACGACGACGACGACGACGACGACGACGACGACGACGACGACGGCACCGCAGCAACGCAGCACCGCAGCACCACCCCACACCTACAGGAAGAGGGGGACGGTCACCAGCACCCCCACCACGCCACGCCAACAGGGCCACGACCACAGGGGGGGAGGGGACCCACCGCGCGGGGCGGGGAGGTGGAAGGCCCGAAGGCATCAGCACGAGGGTGGGGGGGGGGCCCGGAGCCCTCTCCCAGCCTGGCTCAGCCAGAGCCCGGCGCGGCAGGATCCTGCAGGATCTGGTTCTCTGGCCTCTGGAGGTCGGAGAAGGGGTGTGGCATAAAGGGGTATGGTGCCACTCGTGGAGATGGCCATGCTATCTGCGATGAATCACATCGCCAGAATCCTCTTTACCTAAAATTGGCACCACCCCCTTTTATACCATACTATACCATACCCCTTTCCTACCTCCAGATGGCTGAGCCCCGTCTGCGCTGAACACCGCTGCCTGCCGTCTTAAGGCGATCGCCTCGCTCGACGTTGCCGTCGCGGGCCATGTGCTGGCAGCGGTGCGCACCCAGGCGGAGGAGATGCTGCGGGCCATGCGCGGCGCGGTCGCCTCCCCGGACGCGCAGGAGGCGGGCGGGCGCTTCGTTGGCGCGGCCGTGACCAGCCTGGAGGTGAAGGACGTCCTGATCTCGCTGGGCATCAGGTCACGAGCGGCGAACGGGTCCAGAGTCTCGGCGGGGGAAAGTTAGGTCCCCATGCCGCTACCCTTGCCTGGTTTTCGCCTTCTTGGGCCTACTGGGAGGCGCTCGCCGCCACTGCACGGCTGGATTCGCCTCGGAATCTTGGTCAGAGCGCACCCCGGGAGAGTTCCAGAGAGTTGTGCTATCGGTACCTCTTATTTCCCCAGAGCGAGTCCATATCCACGCCCTCGCGGTCTCGATCTGGGGGCGCGATCCCGCGGGGTCGCGGCCCAGAGGCCGGACCCGCGAGGCCGCGGATACGGATATGTTTTCCGCCCACGATCAGGGACGTGCTCGTGGCGGCGGTGAAGCAGCATCCGCGGCACCCCGGCGTGCAGGACAGCGTGCAGTACGCTCTGCTAAAGGTCGTTGGCTGGCGTGCTCCCGCAGAGGTTCAGGGAGGGCGAAAGGGGCGAAGTGCCCCAGACCTCCGACGTTCAAGTTCGGGCGGGAGAATCGCGCCGCATCGCCGATGCATCGGCGATGCAGCTCGATGTGGAACCGGATTTTCTCCACGCCGGCCGAGAGCTCACCGTGTATCGCCGACGTCGCCGATGCACTGGCGGTGCGCCGGCGCAATCATCCGACCCTGTTTGCTCGGAGTCCATGCGGGAGGCCTCCAGACAGAGGGAGGAGGCCCAGACCTCCGATGAGGCTGACAAAAGGATTGCAGGGCAGCCGCTCGCAGGTTTCGGCCCCCTGGGGCCCTCGTTATGCCCCCGGGCCCGTCAACCGAAACGGGAGGAACGGCCAGCCAGGTGGAAAGGATCGGGACTTCTATTATCGGCCACGCGCAGAGGGGGGGTAGGGCGAGGGGGAGTCCTTCTCAGAAGCACCCCTGCTTCTTGGAAGCGGCGGGCCTCGTCTGTAGATCTGGAGACGTGAGGCCGGCGCCTTCTAAGAAGCAGCCTCGTCCTGAGAAGCGTTCCCCCCTCCCCCTGCCCACTTGTGCGCGCCGCCACTTCTGGGGCACCGAGTGGGACACATCAAGGCGTCGGCTCTCTCTCCGAGGGGGGGGGTGAACTCCGCGGCACGCAGCCGGCTCTGGGCCCGCCGCCGGGCACGCTCCTCGATGCACGGTCGCCTCTGGCGACCGGGGGGGGGTGCCGGGAGAGCCAGCGGCGTGCACCCGGTTCATGTGCCCCGGTCTGGCGGCTCACCGCCCAAAGTCGGTATCGTTTGGCCGACCCTTGTCCCCATCTCCATCCCCATCCCGAGCTCCACTGTTTGACCACCCCTGCTGGGGACGAGAGTCGAAGGAGACGGCCAGTGCCCCCATCTGGGGGGTAAAACGGCCAGTGCGGCCCAGGCAACGCCCATAGGGATAGAGGTCGGTTAATCGATGCTCACAAACCTTTGATGTCGTGTTTGTTGATTGTTTTTTGGAAACTTTGACCCTTCTGGAACTGTTGCTTGATGGCCCCGGGGCCCGCTGACTGATGGCCTCCAGAGGCCGGCAACGACCCAAAACCTTACGCCGTGGTTGTCGTGACGCGAGGGGTCCAGGTTCGGGGGGCAGAGTCCGACCCAGGACCCGTCTTAAGGTGCGTTCTGGAGAGAGTTCCAAGGAGGATCCAGCCGTGGCGATGAGCCGCCCAGAGGCCCCGGCTTTGTTTCTCGACGTCCAGGGCCAAGCAGGGGCAATGCGAGGGGGGATGTACGCTCAGGGGGTCGCATCGACCCCCAATCGCCCACTGATCGCCGATGGGGGCCCGATAGCCCAGCCCGCCCAGGAGCGTGCGGACGCGCTCTCCGCGACAAGTCGCCGATCCATCGGCGATGCATCGCCGACGCCAGCCCACTGCCTCCCGCCCTGGAGCTGGTCCCCCCCCCTGGTCGTTGCCCCTCAGCCAAGGGGGTCTGGTCTGGGGCTCCATCCTTAATGCGCCTGTTTTCCACCGCCACCACCAGAAGTTTGAGGGGGAGGGGGTGCTCCTCCTCCTCCTCCTCCTCCTCCTCCTCGTCCTCGTCCTCGTCCTCCTCCTTCTCCACTTCCACTTCCTCCTCCTCCTCCTCCTCCTCCTCCTCCTCTCGTTCTCCTCCTCCTCCTCCTCCTCCTCCTCCTCCTCCTCCGCCTCCAATTTCTGGTGGTGGTGGTGGAAAATAGGCCCATCACTCCTGCCGCCTGCAGCAGCCAAGGTCCTCGGCGACCCGGAGCTCGCCGCCTCGCCCCAGGCCGTCAGCGCCGCGCTCTGGGCCCTGGGGAGCCGGGGGGCGGGCAGCGAGCAGCACTGGGACGTCGACTCGCTGGCGGCGCTGCCGTGGGCGGAGCTCGGGGGGGGGGGGGGAAGGAGCGTCCTGCGTTGAGCCAGGAAGGGAGTGCTGGAGAAAGCGCAGACACGGACTGATGCGCGCGGATGAGTGGCGGGTCTGGCTTCTATCCCGATTCGGCGCGCTCCGTCGTCAAGCCAGGTGGTGGTGGCTACATGTTTCGCCCGGATCCATGGATCTGGCGCCCACGCGCCAGATCCACGGATCCATAATCCAGGTTAGCGTGTGGCCGAGATGCAGAGGCGGCATGCCTTCTCAGAAGGCGCGGAAGGCCTCGTGCTTTCTGAGATGTTGTCTAAGCCTTCCCCGAAGACGCAGGAAACTTCCCAGCAGGTCGAAGGGCTTCTGAGCAGCCCTGCATCCTTCTAAGAAGACCTGCCCCCTCCCACTCCCCCCTGGGCTCGCCACCGAAACTACATCAACATGGAATCAGCTCGATGTCCCAATTATCGGGGTGCGTTTGGAGGTTTCCGGGAGTCTTCGTTGGCTCTTGGAGGTGTTCCCGTTCCGGGACGTCTGCCAGCAGGAGTGTGAGGGGGCTCCGAGGGAACCCCATTCGTCCCGAATGGCCGCCAGAGGCTTGACTTAGTTGGGAGCCTCCCCTGACATCCTCGCGTCGTGAGAAAGAGTCACGGCGGAAGGTTCTTGGCAGTTCGGGGGCCTTCACCAGGCCCAAGGACTGTCAGAACGCCTCGGAATGGAGAGCCAGTCCTTGGACTCCCCAGAGGTCAAGATAAGATCTCTGGGGGCCTAGACGTCTGGGGACCCGAACAATCAACTAATTTCTCGACGCGGAGATCCCGATTATCTGTATCTAATTGTCCTGGCACGTCTCGTTGAGGGCGTGTGTCTGTGAACATTTGGGTGCGGGAGCTCGTCCGAGTGCACGACATGTGCAAAGACGACGAAGACGACCACGACGTCGACGATGACGACGAAAGCGACGACGACAGCGACGACGCTTACGATGCTGACGACAGCGATGGCACTGGGTGCTAACGGGCCCGTGAAAACACCCTGGCGTCTTCCCTGTGGGAGTGCTGCAGCCAGCGCCTCGCCTGAGACATCCTCGCAATCCGCTTTGACTGCACACAAGTCCAAGCCACCAAACGGGTAAACCGCCCGAGACATCCCACGCAATCTGTACGTGGGCGGGCCCTTGGAAACACCCTTGTGGCTCCCCTTTGGGAGTGCTGCAGCCAGCGCCTCGACTGAGACATCCACGCAATCTGTCCCGAAACCACAGAGGTACAAGCCACCAAACAGATAAACCGTCTGAGAAATCCCCCATCTTGGCGCGAACGGGGTGGTGAGATACCCCGTGGTGGCTCCCCCTTGGGATGCAGCAGGAAGCTCCTCGCCTGAGACATCCTCACAATCTGTTCTGAACGATGCGAAGTCTGGGCAACCAAACCGGCAACCCGCTCGAGGCATCCCACAATCTGGGCGCGACGGGGGGAGTGAAATACCCCATGGCGTCTCCCCTTCGGGGTGCTGCAGCCAGCGCCTCGCCTGAGACATCCTAGTACTCTGCGAGTCTGAGTGTGAGTGCGTCGCACATCTGACTGAGTCGGAGTATGATGAGTGTGGGTGGGTAAGAATGAGTGAGTATGACTGAGAGTGAGTTTGAGTGTGAATGAGTCTCAGTGTGAGTGAGTCTTAGTTGATTGAGTCTGAGTATGAGTGAGTCTGAGTATGAGTGAGCCTGACCACGAGCGAGTCTCAGTGTGAGTGAGTCTGAGTGACAGTGAGTCTGCGTGTGGGTGAGGCTGTGTCAGTGATTCTTAGTGTATGTGTAAGTCTGAGTATGAGTGAGTCTGAGTGCGAGTGATTCTCAGTGTGTGTACTTCTGCGTGAGAATGCGTCTAAGTATGAGTAAGTGTGAGTGCGAGTGACTCGAGATGAGTGAGTGATTCTGAGTGTGAGTGAGTCTGAGGGTGAGGGAGTCTGAGTGGCAGCGAATCTGAATGTGATGAGTGAGTCTGAGTTTGACCAGATCTGAGTGACGTGAGAGTCTGAAAGAGGAAGAGAAAGAGCAGGGAGGAAGGTGGTGACTGCGTCGGGGGCGCCTACGTGACTGCTCGAGGCATTCCCAAAATATGAGAGCGAACTGGCGCGTGATAACATTCTGACAGCTCCCCCTCGGGAGTGTTGAAGCCAGTGCCTCGCTCGAGACATCCTCACAGTCTGTTCTGGAAGCAGACGATGTTGGGCACCCAAACACAAATCGCTCAAGGCATCCCTACAGTCTGCGCGGGAACGGGCCCGTGAGAACACCCTGGCGGCTACCCCGTGGGGAGTTCTGAAACCAGCGCATCGCTCGAGACATCCTCACAACGTGTTCTTCTGAAAGCAGAGGATGTTGGACACCCAAGCCGCTCCTGACATCCCCACGTGCGAATACACTGTCGGCTGCCCCTTCGGCGCGTTGAAACTGGCGCCTCACCTGAGACATCCTCACAATATTTTCTGATAGCAGAGGATGATGGGCACCCGAACAAGCAGACCGCTCAAGGCATCCCCGCAATCTGAGCTCGAACGGGCCTGTGAGAATTCCCTGGCTGTTCCCCCTCGGGAATCCTGAGGCCAGCGCCTCGCCCGGGGCATGCTCACCACCTGCTCTGAGAGCGTGGGATGCCGGACATCCAAGCCGAGCGCGGGTGGGCCCCTCAGAAGACCCCGGTGGCCCCCCCCACGGGTGTGCTGAGACCAGCGCCTCGCCCGAGACACCCTCCCACTCTGCTTTGAAAGCAGCGGACGTCGGGCATCCAATCAAGCGAACCGCTCGAGGCATCCCCACAATCTGAGCGCGAAGCGGCCTGTGAGAACACCTTCGAGGCTCCCCCCTCGGAGTGCTGAAGCCAGCGCCTCGCTCGAGACATGCTCACAACCTGCTCTGAGAGCAGAGACCGTTGGCACCCACGCAGGCATACTGCATGATACATGTCACAAGATTCGGCCTGAGTCTGATTGAGGAAGAGTGAATTTGAGTTTGAGTGAATTAGTCTATGACTGAGTCTGAGCGTGGCAAAGTCAGAGTCTGATTCAGTCTGTGCGCCTGAGTGCGAGTGAGTCTGAGTATGAGTGAGTCTTTGTGTGAGTGAGTCTAAACATGAGTAAGTCTGAGTCGAATGAGTCAGATAATGATTATGCCTGAGTGGGGAAGGGAGAGGAGAAGGATGAGAGGAGGAGGAGGAGGAGGAGGAGGAGGAGGAGGAGGAGGAGGAGGAGGAGGAGGAGGAGGAGGGAGGAGGAGGCGGAGGAAGGAGGAAGGAGGAGGAGGAAAAGAGGTGGAGGCGTCTAAGAAATAAATATAACCTCATCCCAGGACATGGGGAACTGCGTCAACGCAGGTCCGCTAAGATTTCTTGGGTCGGCGCTGGACCCTTGTCGCGCGGAAAGCATCTGTAGCGGCGTCGCCAGGGGGGTTCAGCGCCGATCCAAGAGATCCATGCAGGCCTCCGAAAGTCTTTGTCCCGAGATCTCCGACGATTTGAATTGCTCAATCCCGACGATGTTCCTCGATTTCGGCCCCCAGGCCCCTTATCAAGCCCCGAGGCCCTCAAACATGGATCGGGGACGCATAATTACCTTCGTGAAAGGGGTTGCGATCTTTGGGGCCACAGATGGAAGACATTATATCGGAAGATGTCTGGGGCACAGAATTTCCACATTTGGTGTAATCGAAATGGGTCCACACAAAGAATGGAGACGAAGAGCGACAGCAGCTCCTGCCCATTCTGGACAGATCTAGCTGTCGGTGTCGTCGCGGCCCGACGCTGCACTCTGGAGGTGGAAGGTCGTCTGCCCGACAGTGGTCGCTGTCGGTTTTGGACGGCATTCGTGGATGGGCACCGTCTGGGCAACAAACATCGGATCGGGGGATGCCGCTGGGCCTCTGCGGTTTGGCTCATCTTCCAGGAGCGGCGCGAGCTTGCCGAGCTGGCGCGTGCCGCCCTCGAGCGGTTCCCAGACAACCTGGTGTTGCGGTCGCTCGCCGTGGAGGGGCAGAAGGGCTCCCGAGGGAAGAGTTTGTGTTGATCGGTGGTCCGGCAACGTCTGTCACGGGGGGTCGCCCCCTCCCCCCCTCTCGAAATGGCATCTAGCGTTGGCAGGTGTGCTTTGGTTTTCACGGTACTTTGACAGCCTGTTGTTGCTACTATCGCTCGTGTGATCACTGGTATTGATACTGGGACAACGACTCATTGTTCCCGTCGTAGTCGAATACGCATTTGTAGATGATGGTAATTGTTGACCTAAGGAACCGTTTCTGGGCGTTCTCGTCGACGCGGGCTACATTTTCTTTGAAAGCGAGGCTCCCGCTCGAGCGCGGGCTTGAGGGCAAACCTCCGTTAATGAATCCCGACCTACGACGTCGACGGCTCACAAATTATTCCGATGCACTTTGGCCATAGAGGCCACCAAACGCAGGAACAGCTCTTGCTCGAGACTTCCTCGCAATCAATTGAAGTTGGTGACGGCCTGGCACCGACTAGACGACAACGGCTTCCGCTCTATTCTTCCTCACAAATTACTCGGCGACTCTTCGGGCAGAGAGCCCCGAACATTCACGAATGGCGCTCTCGCCCCAATTTTCTTCGCAATTCACTGAAGTTGGTAACGGCACAGCTACGACGACAACCGCCTCGACACGTCCTCACAATTCATTCCGAGACGCCCTGGCCAGAGAGGCCCCCACTCAGGACCGGCGTTCTCGGTCGAGACTTCTTCGCACCTCAATCAAAATATTGAGCTGCCCGTGGGGACATTAGCTCGCATGACGGCCATAGCGGCATGGTGCGCATGTATAATTCACTGTTGAATGTTTCTTCCAGACGCTGGTATCAAATCAAGCCCCCTAGAAAAGGAAGTTGGCTTGGGTGAAAAGACTTAGCGTATGGGTACGGGGGAAAGGTCAAAGCAGTTTGTCGGATCACATGTTCACAATATGTTCGTCGTCGTCGTAGCGGTTGCCGGCCTTGCTGGTGCTGCTAGTTGCCATTAGCATTGCTACCACTAGTATTACTGCTACTACCATGCCGGCGCCCGCCACGTTACCGTTACCCCGCCAGGGGGGCCCGACCCCCCTCCCCCCGCCCCGTATTGGACGTCACGGGAGGGGGGAGTAAACAGAACAATTGCTGACGCTTCGCGTATCCCCACCAGCCCATCCAGAAACGATGCTCAGGGGAGTTGAGGTGATCAGGGAAGTCGGGGAGCATGCAGAATAACAAAGGGCGGGGGAAGCTGTCACAGACCCGGAGAGGGGGAGGATGGAAGAGGAATCGTCGTCGTCGTCGGAGGAGGAGGAAGAGGAGGAGGAGGAGGAGGAGAATGAGGAGGATATGGAGTAGGGCGAGGACGAGGAGGACGAGAAGGAGGAGAAGGAGCAGAGGGAGGAGAAGGAGGAGAAGGAGGAGGAGGAGGAGGAGGAGGAGGGGGAGGAGGAGGAGGAAGGAAGAGAAAGAGGTGGTTGAGGAAGAGGAAGAGGAAGAGGACGGCTTCTTGGGGGTCTTTTGAGAGCCTCTTGGAGGGCTTTTTGGGCGCCTTGGGGCATCTTGGGCGCCTCTTGGGACCCTCTTGAGGCGCTCTAGGGAGCCTTAGGGGCGATCTTGGGGCCATCTTGGAGGGAGTCGATCAAACAAGAGGGGAGCTCCAATTAGCCTCCCCCCTCGGGAGCCCCATGAATCGCCTCTTGGGCCCCTCTTGGAGCGCTCTTGGAGCGCTCTTGGGCGCTTTTGGGGCCGTCTTGGGGCTCTCTTGGGCCTCTCGTGGTGCCCTTTTGGGCCATCGTGGAGCCATATTGAGGCCTCAGATGTCCATCGGAAGCGAAAAGGCGAGAAAGCAAAAAACAGTGTTTTTTCCTTAGGTTTTGGGACGATGTTGGCCTCGTCGGGGCCTCCTTAGGGAGCTCTTTGGCCACTTGGAGCCGTCTTGGGATCGTCTTGGGGCCTCTTGGAGCATCTTAGGAGCCATCGTGAGCGATCTTGCGCTATCTTGAGCCATCTTGGAGCTCATCTTGGGCTCTCTGAGGCGCTTTTGAAGCCATCTTTGGCCATCTTGGACGCTGCAACGCGCCGCGGCCCCCCCCGTCCAGGTCCAGGGGAGGGGGTAGGGGGAGGGGTAAACCCCTCCCCAAGGGGGAAGAGGGAGGGGTGGAAGAGGATCTGCTCTAGACCACCTACGCCCAGAGGGCTGGTGGGATTGAGGTGGGTTCTTGAAGTTTTTGTTGTCAGTCGCTTTCGGGCTGCATGTGCCCTCCCAGGGTCCCCAGGTCCTCGGCAACATAGGCATGCAATTTGGGGGAGGTTGGTTTCAGCATCGGCGCTGGTATATCCGTTGTCGGAACCCAGCCGAGTTTGGCAGAGTCTTGTCTGAGCTTATTTGATCTTGCTTGATCCAGTCCAACCCGGTTTAACCGCGGGCTTCACTTGTGCTCATCCGGCTCCATGCTCTTGCAATCGGGCCGAATAGCCCTTGATCGTTCGCACGAGGACCTCCCAGGAGTTGCCTTTACTGAAAAAGGACGGCTCGGGATGAGAGTGAGAAACTCAGGGGTCCAGGACCCCCTGCACGCAGGGACACGCTCCTTTGTGCCAAGGTCGCGAAGCCTAGACGTCATGGGCCTGATGCTCGGCGCCAAGGTTCAGCCACGCGCAGGGGGGGGGATAAGGGAGGGGGCAGGCTCCTCAGAAGCACCCCTGCTTCGTAGAAGGCGCGGGCCCCGCCTGCAGGTGTGGGGCCTGCGCTTTCTAAGAGGCGGCGTCCTTCCAGGAAGACTCCCCCCCTCTCCTTTCTCCCCTTGTGCGCGCCGCCAGGGGGCCAGGAGGAAAAAGTGATCAGGTGATTCGCCGATGCCGAAGGCCTCCCCCGTCGGCCTCGCGCCCCCGCTGCTCGGGGGCGTCCCCCCGGGGGCTGGGCGGGGGGGAGCAGCGGGCTCGCCTGGGACTCATTGCGCAGAGCCGGGGCTCGCCGTGAAGAAGGGGGGGCTCGTCGCACGGGGTCAGGGCGAGGATGCATCCGTTTCAGAGCGTTCTGAAGCGCTCTCAGAGCAGAGCGTTCCAGAACGCTATGGGAGAGCCTGGTTTCGGAGATCTTCGATGCATCCTCACCCGATGTTATCCTCGTCCTGGCTTCGTCTCAGCTCTCGGAGGCCCGTGTGTGTCTTCCCCGTCGCCGTCGGGCTCGGCCCCGGACCGTCAAACGACCACCAAGGCTGGACTCGCTGACCCCGGGGGAAGCCCCCGGGGTCAAGGATCCGCCGAGGGCTTCATGTCTTGCGCCAAGGATCGGCTGCGCGGGCCTGGGGGGAGACGCAAGGGGGGGGGGCAGCTTGGCTCTCACCGTCTTTTTGCCTTGTGCACGTTAAGACGCGACGGTCACGCAAGCCAACGTTAGTCCAAAGCGAACGGCGGCCTCCTGAGAACAGCAAGATAAAGCTTCTGAGAATCCCTGGAGCCTCTTATACTGTCGACGCCTCTTGTAATGATGCACTGCTTCATCATCAAGGCTACTCCTGCATCCCTGCTTCTTCGGCCCATCCTGAGCCATTGACGTCTGGGATTTCCGCGGGTCTTGCATCCTTACCGCGCATATTTATTATGGAGTTGGATTGTAGGACTTCTAAGAAGCCCCCTGGCCTCCGTAGAGGGCCACTCGCCTCGCGCCGACGTTCGAACAGCAGCAACCTCTGCACAAACACTGCGTCTGCGTCGGGCCCCAGCGCAGGGGGGGAGGCATTCTAAGCAGGGCAGGGCAGGGCTTCTGAGAAGCCCCCCAGGCCTCTGAAGAGGGCCACCCGCCTCGCGGCGAGGTCCGAACAGCAGCAGCAAGCTCCGCGCAAACTCTGCGCCTGCGCCTGCGCCCCCCCCCAACCAGGCGGCTGCTCCCAGCGCCCCCCCGCTACCATTCCTTTGTTTCCCCCCTCTTTGGGCCTCCTGGGAAGCCCTCGTCGCCACGGCTGGAATCGCCTCGACATTCCAGTCAGCACGCACCCCAGAAGAGGCCCAGGGAGTAGCGGCATCGGCTCCTTTGGGGCTTTCCAAGTTCTAGGTCTCCCGGATGTGGTCAGAGCAGGTGGGGTCGGAGGATCGCCCCGCGTCGCCAGTGCATCGGCGACGCCGCTCGATGTGGGGCCCGATTGCCTCTACGCCGACGTCGCCGATGCATCGCCGACGGCGCCAGTACATCGGCGACGCGGCGCGGCCCTCCGACCCCGAGCACGGGAGGCCTCCCGAGGGGGGCCGGGCGCCGGCCCTGGAAGTGCGTGTCTGGCCTGCCAGGCCCAGGCCTGCTCCGGCATGATCTTTCCCGTCCGCGGCCCCAGAGTTCCAAACGCTTTCCCTGATGGGCCTGTTTTCCACCACCACCACCATAAGGAGGAGGGGGAGGAGGAGGAGGAGGAGGAGGAGGAGGAGGAGGAGGAGGAGGAGGAGGAGCAGGAGGAGGTGGAGGAGGAGGAGGGAGGAGGAGGACGAGGAGGAGGGGGAGGAGGGGGAGGGGGAGGACCCCGTCCCCGTCCAACTTATGGTGGCGGTGGTGGAAAACAGGCCCACCATTCCCTTCGGGTGGTTTTGCGCCCCGTGCTCATATTTGCTCGGCCCGGGGGACAAAGGGGCGCCGGAGGCCGACGTCTGGGCAGAGCGAGGCGATGGCAGCGACCGAAGCATCGGGGGTCTGGGAAGGTGCCCGGGTCGGACCACGAAGTGGCCGCTATGGCCGTGCCGCCCATCGTCCTGGCGATGCAGGCCCACCTGGACGAACGCGACCTGCAGTGGAGCGCGGCTCGAGCTCTGGTGAGGGTGGTCGAGGGCAACTCGAGCGCCATCAGGTCGTTGCGTGCGTACAGGATCGGCGATTGCGACCGAAGTGGGTACAGAACTTAACGGGGACGAAGGCCAGCAGCAGTTTCTGCCCATTTCGAACAGGATTCGCTGCTTAAGTCGCCGCGGGCTCTGTCCATTCGAGGCGCAAGCTCGCCTGCCCAGCAGCGGCCGCTGTCGGTTTCGGACAGCATGCTCTGTTGGGCACCGTACCCATTGTTGCCGTACGCCCCCCTGGCGTGCCATTAGGAACGAGTTCATTGCACTCTTGGACTCCATCATGGCACTGCAGGAGCACAGTCAGACTCTCTCCAACCTGAGCAGGGTTCGACTGACGGTCGCTGGAGTGGTGGGCGTGCTGGAGGCCATCCAGGGCGGTCGGTGGGGGAATGCGCAGGTCGAGGCGTCTTTGCAGGCCATCGAGAAAGCGGAGGAGTGCGACTCCTCAAGTTTGCTCAAGATCGACGCCGTAGGGCTCATCATCACCAGGGGAATGGGCCAGGCCCGGGGGGGCAAGAGGGTCCCGATACCGCCACTCACTGACCTTTCCTGGGGTGCGCTCCGAGCACAATCTCGAGGAGCATCCACCCGCGGCGAGGAGGGCCGCCCAGGAGGCCCCCCAAGGGCCAAAATGAAGGAAGCGGTAACAGAACCTTCTCCCTCCCGTTGAGGACTGCCCCGCTCCAGCCGGGATCACGGCGCTGGGGCGCGTGCTCGAGTTTCTCATCCAGGATGCCACGGCCGCCGCGTGCAGCACGGGCGGTGATCTCTCCCAGCACCAGGACGCGATCCAGCGGGGAGTGGACGCCATCGTCTGCAGGCTGCAGGCGGAGGTGCAGAGCGTCGAGGCCGGCGGGAAGCCCTACGTGAAGGCGAGCGGCGCAGAAACTCAAGAAACAATGCATGCGAAAATTTTGGGGAGTCCGCGCGGGTTTCTTGGATCGGCGCCTGACCCCGCTGGCAGCGCTTCCGGCGCAATCCTGGCCCAGCGCCGTTCTAAGATATTCGTGCAGACTTCCGAGAGTTTAGCATGTTGAGTCATGCCGCTTGTTGTTCCTCTAGCCTGCTCGCGCAGGGTACCGTTCGCGTGAGCGGGATCTCTCTCTTTCCGCGTGGTTGTCGCTTCCCGCCGCGGAGGCGGCTCGCGTGAGCCGTCGTGTTGGTTCTCGGCGGCGAGCGAGGGAGAGAGAAGTGGAGGGAGAGAAGTGAGAAGGAGAAGCCATCTCAGAAGGCGGCGGGGCTTCTCTGAAGCACTCGGGCCTTCTGATGAGTGTTCTGCGTCTGCGGGGAAGGCTTGGAAAACGTTCAGAAGGCCGGGGGACTTCGGAGCCGTCCGATCAAGCAGTGGCGAAGCGTCCTAGCTCGCCTATACGTAGGCCTACCAACGAATGTTCTAAGAACCTTTTGTGGCCTGCACGAAATGTTCTTAGAACATTTCTGGCTGGGACCGTCTTGTTTTGACACATCGGGATTATGTTCTACGAACATTGGTTTTCTTCTTAGAACATTGTTGGGTTCCAGGACACATGCCGTGGTAGGCTTATAAGAATGCCGGGACGGTCGGTCCCTGCTCAATCCGAGAAGGCCCGCCTTATGTTCGCCTCCCCGGCTCGCTGCCGGGTTGTGCCCCGCCGTGCAGGCGGCCCGCACGAGCCGTCGTGTTGGCTCGTGGTGTCACCATGCGAAGCGGAGGGCGGCGCCAATGAGTTAAGCAGTGGCGAAGCGCCCGGCTTCCCTGTAAGTACACCAAGGAAGGTCTTAATAATCTCTTGTGGTCTGTTCGAAGTGTTCTCAGAACAGTATTTCTGGCCGAGACTGTTTTTTTTTTCAGCACATCGGAATGTCATCATGCGAAGCGGAGGACGGCGCCAATGAGTCAAGCAGTGGCGAAGAGTCTTGGCTTCCCTACAAGCCCACCAGAGAATGTTCCAAGATTCTGATGTTCCAACCCTACTTTCGCCTGAACCGCTAGAAACAAATTCGAGCACCAAGCATCGAAACTCGAGGGTTTTCACGTGTCGGGCCCTGGAAGACACTCGTTGGACACTGTTTCGACACTTTTCCAGGTGCTCGAAATTATTTCTGGGATGTGATTCTTAAGTACAACGGGGGCAGCGTAATTCTAAGAGCCTCCTGTGGTCTGCTCGAAGTGTTCTCAGAACATTTCTGGCCGAGACTGGCCTATTTCAACACATCGGGTTGATGCTCTAAGAGCATTGTTTTTGTTGTTGGAGCATTTCTGGGTTCTACGAACATTTCGTTGGGACAGTCAGCGCCTGCTCACATGACATTGGCGCGACGCCGGCGCTGGCCGGACAGGTCCTGGACCCAGGGCCTGTGCGTATGCGTCCTCGGCCAGTGCCAGGAGGGCGTTTCTGCGCCGATCAGGGCCGAGGATACTCTGGATGGGTCATTTATCAAGGGGGGGGGATTAACCTTCTGACTGGCCCTGCCCAATCCCGCCCCCCTCCATCCTCCTACCCCTCCTGATCCTGGTCCTTTTCCTCCAATTCCCCTCCACCCATTCCGACAGCACGTGCCCAAACCCCCCCAGCGGATCCAAGGGGGGGGGCGATTATTGCCACATCCAGAGAAGGCCTGGCCTGGATCGGTTCGGTGTAAGATTGGCGCCCCCACGGGCGCAAGTTCGCACCTCTCGGCGGCGAGGCCCTGGGGGGGAAGCGAGAAGGCTGGGTCTCCTCAGAAGGGCCCGGGAGGCCTCGGGCGTTCTGGGAAGTGCCCTGCGCCCTCCCCGAAGACGCCACAGACCTCTCAGAAGGCCAGGGGGCTTCCGAGGAGACCCGCCGCCTTCTGAGGAGGGCGTTGCCTTCGCCATTCCCCCCTGGCGCGCCTTTCGAGACTCAAGCAGGTGTACTCCCGGGCGCTGATCGCCCTGCGCAACGTCTCTCGGCGCAGCGACAGCCTTGGGGCGCGGATCGCCGCGAGCCCGACCGTCAAGGCCGCGATGAAGATCGCGCTCGAGAGGGACTATCTGGCAACCTTCGGCCCATCCCGCCACTGGAATGAGGCCCACCTCTGGACATCCGACATGAGGCCCCCCCCTCCCAGACATCCGGCGAATAGCCTTTCTTTGCATGGCCCCAGGGACTTCCGACCCGTTCGCTTCGGGCCGGCATTTCATCCCGAGCAGTTGTTCGACGGCCTCGCGGCCCAGTGAGGGCGGGCCCTCACGGGGGCCAAACGTGGTGACAAACCTGCCGCCCCGAGTTGTTAGTGGCGCCGGATGTCCTGCCCTGGCATGTCGCGTGCATCCAGGCGCAGGTCAGGCCCACGACGAGTGTCGTTCCTTCTCCCGGGTCGTGCTCTGACTGCAGGTCACATGCAGGGTTTAGTCGGGCCTGTCCCTCTACAGGGGAAGATTCAGAAATAGTTTTAAAATCGTCAAGGGAGTATTTTTTAACTAGTTTTGAGCATTTTGGAAGTATTTGTTTCAGTATTTCTAATTTTGGGGGGGACAGGCCCGACCTAAATGCAGGGGCGCGAACATGGCCGTTACCCAGCTGAGGGGGGGCGCGAAGGATGCTCGCCGGGGCGGCAATTTTGACTCCACGTCGACGCAGCGGCGACCCCAACGCGCGGGCGTTCAAGGGTGGGTGCCGCCAGTGGCCCGTAATATCGACCGATATCGAGCGATCTGCGCGGAGAGGCGCGGAGAGTGCGCGGACGATTCGCGTGTGGTCAGGAACCAACGCGCAGGTCACCACGACACGAAACTGATGTACACCTACACTATCGGGTGAGATCGAACTGTTTCCTTTCCAGGGGCCGGTTTCCCGCGGTGTCCCGTCGGTGTCCCGCCGGTGTCCCGTCGGTGTTCCATGATGATGTTGATGATCCCGATGATGTTGATGATGATGAGATGATGAGCTGATGTTGATGATGATGATGATGATGATGATGATGATGATGATGATGATGATGATGGTGCCCCGATGATGATGGTGATGATGAGGTTGATGATGATGCTGCTGATGATGATGACGGTGATTATGATGATGATGGTGTCCCGATGATGATGATGATGATGATGATGATGATGATGATGATGATGATGATGATGATGCTGATGCTGATGCTGATGCTGATGTTGATGATGATAAGATTGATGACGAGACGATGATGTTGATGATGATGAGATGATGATGATGATGATGATGATGATGGTGATGATTTTCATGATGGTGGTCCGATGATGTTGAATATGATGCTGATGTTGATGATGGTGTCCCGATGATGATGATGATGATGATGATGATGATGATGATGATGATGGTGATGGTGATGGTGATGGTGATGGTGATGGTGATGGTGATGGTGATGGTGATGGTGATCGTGATGATGATGATGATGATGATGATGATGATGATGATGATGGTGACGATGATGGTGTCCCGATGATGATGATGTTGATGATGATGATGATGTTGCTGTTGATGATGATGGTGTCCCGATGATGGTGATGTTGATGAGGTGTTTCATGATGATGATGAGGAGATGATGATGATGATGGTGTTGCTCCGATGCATATGGTGATAATGGTGTCCCGATGATGATGATGATGATGATGATGATGATGATGATGATGATGCGGATGCTGATGGTGACGATGATGAGGTCCCGATGGTGATGATGGTGATGATGATGATATTGATGATGATGGTAATGAGGTGATGATGCTGATGGTGTCCCGACGATACTGATGATGCTGATGATGATGATGATGATGACGTTGATGACGATGATGTTGATGATGCTGATGAGGATGATGACGTTGATTGTGAGATCGATTGTGATATTGATAGTGAGATCGATAGTTTGACCGAATGTGAGGTCGCTTGTGAGATCGATAGTGACATCGAGAGTGAAATCGATTGTGAGATCGATAGTGAGATCGATTGTGAGATCGATCGAAAGAAATAGATCGAGTGAGATCGATTGAGAGATCGATCGAGTGAGATCGATCGAGCGAGACCGACGGTGAGATTGATAGCGAGATCGATAGTGAGGCCGATCGAGTGAGACGTTGATTCCTCCCCCCCCCCCGAACCTCCTTATCACTCGAAGGGTGGTCGTATAGGTATACCATGTCGCCTGCATTCCGCCGCCCCCTCCCCATCCATCCCCTCCACCCATCCATGGATAAATCGGCATCCGTTATGCGCAGTTGTGCAGGACTGTATGTCTGCCAGCATGCGTGCAGCGATGCAGGTCGGGGCTTCGTGTTTGAAATCGTGTTCTTGACCCTTGGTTCCTGTGCGCGAGAGGGAACACTACGCAATGTTAGGGGATGCAGAATTGCGATTCGTTGCATGATGGCTGCGCTATTCATCTGGGCGTCTTTGCGCATTCTTAGAGGCCGTTGGGGTCTTCTTGGGATCGTCTTTGGAACCTTTCGTGGGCCTCTTGAGGCCCATGGCAGGATGACGACGAAGAGGATGATGATGATGAGGAGGAGGAGGAGGAGGAACGCGTGGGCGACAGGAATGGGGACGTGGATGGAAAAGGACGACGGAGAGGAAGGATACCCTTAGCGATTGCGGAGAGGACGACGGCAAGAGCAAGTACGGACGATGATGAAGAGAGGTTGGTTGATGGGAAAGGGAAGGGTCCGTGCTTCCAGCCGTTGCCCGTGTTAGCCACGATCACGATAAGGAGCAGTGTACCCTTGCGATGGTGTAACATGGCGTAGCCGTCACGTCTGCCTTTGCTTTACTGTTGCAGTTCGTGCTCTTGAGCACTGCAACCTATTGAGGAGCACGTGGCGGCATCTTGGGACCCTCTTGAGACTTGTTGAGGGAAATACTCCAATGCAGTCAGAAGTGGGTGTTGCGGGATCGCCATGCCTTCCTGGCTTTATTGCGCGGGCTGTCCTCGTCAACGCGGCCTCGGGGACCACCTGGGGGAGCCCTGGGGCCGTTCGGAGACGTATCTGGACAGTCTCGGGC